AACGAGGATCATCCCGCGCCCGGCATGACAAACCCCAAGAACAAATCTTGCTCTTGGCCTCAACAACTCCTAGTGCGCCCCAAGTAACTCTCGGCGAAGCATAAAAAAAACACAACAAAAAATAGAATTTTAAGCCATACCCAAATCACTAAAACACAATTTAATCGATAAAAAGCATTCTATAGCAAGTAATTAACATCTAGTATCAGTGTTAGGGTTCAACCTCTACTAGCAATTTTAAAAGATTGCTTGCAATATGACTTGCAGTGCTATGGTTTGCAGGTTCGATCAAAAAATTGGTCAGAAAGATCAAATTAAAAACTTGAACCAACTAGTCAACCAGTTTCCAGTTTTGTTGGTTAGTCCAAGCCAATTTTTAAAACTATGATTTAAACTTTGAAATTTACATGCTAAAATACTGTTTTTGATTATTAGTGTCAACCAAACTAGTGCTAGTAATTAATTTTAGCACAATAACGAAAAATTCCCTTACCACTTCGTAAAAAGTTTTCTTCTTTTCTTCCCTATATCTCCTCTCAAACTCATTTCCTTCTCTCAATCTCTCATCTCCCTATGTTCCTTTATTTTATTTTGTTATTCATTTCTTAGTGTCGGCTTTAGCATCGACTCCTGGCGATCAACTCAATTAGCATCAACCTTTTATTTAAGTTAGTATCGCTCAAGTAAATACTAATATTAGTGTTAACCATTTTTAATTTAACATAACTTTCAACTTAGAGTTGACTAAGTTAACATAAAAAAAAACAAGTTAACACTACATATTAGCTTTGAGTATTTTAACGTTGACCACAAAGCCATCCACAGGATGATAACAAATAAAGTCAATGCTAATTTGTGTTTTTCTTTTAATAATTAATATCATCGATCTTTGATACAATGTCAAATAATAGTTAGTTAGCATCATTTATGTAAACACTAACATTAGTCAACTATTTTTAATTTAATAAAACATAATTTCCAACTTATAGTTAATTAAGTTAACATCAACAAAAACAAGTCAACACTACATATTAACTTTGAGTGTTCAAGTGTTGGCCAAAAAGCTAGGTCCATAACAAATCAAATCAATACTAATTTGTATTTTTCTTTTAGTGATAATATTGTCAATTTTTTGGTTTTGTGTAAAAAAATAGTTAGTTAGCATTGTTTGGGTAAGCACTAACATTAGTGTCAACTATTTTTAAATTTAACAAAACATAACTTTTAACTTAGAGTTGACTATATTAACATCACTAAAAATAAGTCAATACTACATATTAGCTTCAGGTGTTCTAGCATTAACCACATAGCCAACACTAGAATGATAGCAAATAAGCCCGTTAATATGTGTTTTCTTTTAGTGGTTAATATCACCATTTTTTATAGTGTCGAATAACATTTAACTAGTTTGTTCACATAAACACTGACATTAGTGTCTATCATTTTTTTTTATTTAACAAAACATAACTTTCAACTTAAGATTAACCAAGTTAACATAAGAAAAATAAATCACCATTACATATTAACTTTCGAGTAGAGGTGTTCATAGGTCAAATTTTTTAAAAATTCAAACCGAATCCATTTTATAAAAGTGGATCAATTAATTGATTAATTTTTTGTAAAATAGATCATTTCAATTTTTTAAAATATGGATCAATTATTTTAAAACTGAATCAACTTGTTACGATGCAATTATTCTTTTTTACTCATATATGGATCAATTTTTTAAAAAATTTGAACCAAACGGATTCTATCAACTTTATAAAACTAAATTAGATAATTGAACCATTTTTGTAAAGTGGATCAGTTTAAATTTATTTTCAAAACAAATCAAAATTTTCAATGTAAATCAAATCAATTTGAATCAATTTAAATTCTTTACAAACCCTTCTACTTTCGTGCGTTCTATCATTGGCAACAGACCCAACACCAAGACAAAGTGATGTGCTTCCACTTGGATGCACATAGGAGGAACTTCAAGTCTCCACGGATCCTTAGAAGAGGCGTCAAGGATTGGAGCTCCAAGGAGACTCAAGGTGGCCGAAACTTGCTTCTAGCTAAGTTCCAAGGAAGAAGGGTGACCTAGCTCTACAATGAGAAGCACTCAAGGAGGGTAGAGAAGGTGACCAAGGTGACTTTCGGAGGGAGAGGTTTCAAGTGAAGAAATCTCATTCAATTAATCCAAAAGTGAGGTACAAAGCTCGGCCATAGTGTTTTATAGGGAGAAATTAGGTCTAGGTAACCATGGGTTAGCCTAAGGTTAAGTGGAACCATGGTATGGTTCACTTAACTTTAGGCGCCCAAAATTTGAATTCAAAAATTCAAATTTTGGAGCTTAAACCGGATCACCCATGTGCAAGTTCATTTGGAATGTCATTAGGCTTCCATTTGGCTTGCATTTCGGATCACACCATGTGCATGTGTTGCACATGGCCGAAATGTACTCCAAATGTGAATCTAATTACATTCTAATGCAACTTCACATGCAACCTAAATAACCCTAAATGTAAATGACCTCTAAATGAAAATCCTAAACTACAAGGCCGGAAATACAAGGCCCAAGGAAAATACAAGGCACTAAGGCCCAAATCCTATACTACCCTATACTACTTGGGCTTGAGTCAAAGCCCAACAAAACAGAGTAATGGGCTTCTCTTGGGCTTGGGCCCACTCTTCATGAATTCTCCTTGCCATAGCCCTAGTAGTTGGGCCCTTAGCCCATGGGCCTCCTCCATCACAAAGTAGTCAAGCCAATGCTAGTTCGTATTTTTCTTGAAGGGGTTAGTATCACCATTTTTTTTATAAGGTGTCGAATAATAGTCTTTAGTACATTTCTACTAAATGTTGAAAACATGACATTTAAGTTTATTATTCTGGAAAAAGAAAATATAACCTCACATCTCATTTCAATTGGAAAAGGCTAAAAACAAATAGGAAGATCTGAAGAATCAAAACTGAAAGTCAATGATTCGACAACAATGTAAAAAATTATTAGAAAAAGTATGCGGAAGTTATTAGCAATTAGAATTTATTGCAATAAATACTAGTTTATAGCAGACTGGGGTCATTCAAACTTGTAAAAATTCCTACAAATTTGCCACTCATCAATTAGACAGACAGACATCAAGCACCTAAATTTGTTCTAATCATCGTTTTTTATTTTCCATTTAAATTAAAGCCTACCTTTAAGTTCTTTACTATTTAACACTTTAACTTTCCAACCATTTATATATCTTCGCTCATTTACTTTGCAGTCATTTAATTGCCTTCCTCTTACATTCGATGCATGTTTTTTTTTTTTTTTTTTTTTCCTCTCATTTTAATTCGATATCATTTGCCCACTTTTGATTTACGTTTTCACTCATTTCAATTTACTTTATTCTTCTCTTTCACAATTTCTTTCCAATTCTTTTCAATTTATTTCCATGATCAACATTTGAGATTTAATTAAATTTAACTATAAATCTAGAGTTAAAAAGCCTCCAAAAGTAAATATTTCCTTCTTCAGTGTGGTTTATTGTTTAAACTCACCAAATTTACATTCAACGGAGAAATTACAAAATGATATTACTTTCTATTTTAGAGCACTAAGAAGAGGGAATTTCGGTTTGCAAATGTATAAATAAATATCCAAACATACACTTAATGATACAATTAAACCTGCAGGAATAATGTTGAATAATACCAACACATACGGTGTAAGATCCAAATGATGAAACTGACCATCAATCACAGCTTTCATAGGTAGTAATATATATATATATATACAACTATTTTTAAATTTAACAAAACATAACTTTTAACTTAGAGTTGACTATATTAACATCACTAAAAATAAGTCAATACTACATATTAGCTTCAGGTGTTCTAGCATTAACCACATAGCCAACACTAGAATGATAGCAAATAAGCCCGTTAATATGTGTTTTCTTTTAGTGGTTAATATCACCATTTTTTATAGTGTCGAATAACATTTAACTAGTTTGTTCACATAAACACTGACATTAGTGTCTATCATTTTTTTTTATTTAACAAAACATAACTTTCAACTTAAGATTAACCAAGTTAACATAAGAAAAATAAATCACCATTACATATTAACTTTCGAGTAGAGGTGTTCATAGGTCAAATTTTTTAAAAATTCAAACCGAATCCATTTTATAAAAGTGGATCAATTAATTGATTAATTTTTTGTAAAATAGATCATTTCAATTTTTTAAAATATGGATCAATTATTTTAAAACTGAATCAACTTGTTACGATGCAATTATTCTTTTTTACTCATATATGGATCAATTTTTTAAAAAATTTGAACCAAACGGATTCTATCAACTTTATAAAACTAAATTAGATAATTGAACCATTTTTGTAAAGTGGATCAGTTTAAATTTATTTTCAAAACAAATCAAAATTTTCAATGTAAATCAAATCAATTTGAATCAATTTAAATTCTTTACAAACCCTTCTACTTTCGTGCGTTCTATCATTGGCAACAGACCCAACACCAAGACAAAGTGATGTGCTTCCACTTGGATGCACATAGGAGGAACTTCAAGTCTCCACGGATCCTTAGAAGAGGCGTCAAGGATTGGAGCTCCAAGGAGACTCAAGGTGGCCGAAACTTGCTTCTAGCTAAGTTCCAAGGAAGAAGGGTGACCTAGCTCTACAATGAGAAGCACTCAAGGAGGGTAGAGAAGGTGACCAAGGTGACTTTCGGAGGGAGAGGTTTCAAGTGAAGAAATCTCATTCAATTAATCCAAAAGTGAGGTACAAAGCTCGGCCATAGTGTTTTATAGGGAGAAATTAGGTCTAGGTAACCATGGGTTAGCCTAAGGTTAAGTGGAACCATGGTATGGTTCACTTAACTTTAGGCGCCCAAAATTTGAATTCAAAAATTCAAATTTTGGAGCTTAAACCGGATCACCCATGTGCAAGTTCATTTGGAATGTCATTAGGCTTCCATTTGGCTTGCATTTCGGATCACACCATGTGCAGCAAAAACACTTGTTTCAATTGTCTAAATTGTTTTATCATATACATACATGTATGCTTACAGAACCACTTACTTAAACAAGACGCTTTCAATACTGCCTTCGCCAGATTATACATATGACCCTGGAGCCTTAACGTGATCTTCGATAATAATATCTGTAAAAATTTGAAGGTCAGGTATAGGATAGTGTATCTGAATGAGTATCTATTAATCTGACTAAGCGTGCGCATGGATGGAAAGAGATAAGAGAGCATTACACGTATATATTTATGTTGTAAATGGAAGCATATTTTCTCAGTAGCCGTTCTATGGTGTACCACTCAGAACGATCAGATCCATCTTGATAACCAATTCGTGGCATATGTATTGATGCTTTGCACAATAATCAAAAGAATTTTGTATCAGTATGTTTCAATTGTCAACTCGTAATACAATCATATACAGATTTAGTTTTTGAACTTTGAAATACTTGTCAACAATAACTCAGAGCTCAGTGCCCTCACTCATTTAATTAATGTATTAATAATCTGAATATAATTTTCTCCGTTTTTCAAGAAAATGATTTCCAATCCATAGATAGAAAAAGGGTAAAGGAAGATACGCTTCCAACTTAAATTGAATTCCATATACTGATACATCCTCTAAACTGAAAAATGCTATCAAACATAAACTATAGCAATTGGGTTTTCCATTAAATTTTCTAATAATTGATGACATCATGCCAAAGGGATAAGTCTTAAAGGATCCAAGAAGTGCCAAAGAGATAAGTCTTAAAGGATCCAAGAAGAGTGAGTTAGGCTTGGAGGAAGAAGGCTCAAACTCTTATTAAGTTTTAGGTCATTTTTTAATAACTTACCTTTTTTTTTTTCTTGATCCAAGAAGAGTGAGTTAGGCTTGGAGGAAGAAGGCTCAAACTCTTATTAAGTTTTAGGTCATTTTTTAATAACTTACCTTTTTTTTTTCTTCATGTATATTTTTCCTTATAAATATTTTCTTAATTTTTGAACTTGTATTTTTAGATCAAGTAGTATAAAAATTTATTTCTTTGTAATTAGTATTTTAGGAAGATCGTAGCTAGAAAAGGAGATTTGGACTTATTGGACTTGAATAACCCATAAGCACCTCCTTGGACACATGGTCCAAGTGGATGGTCATTCATTTGCATGAGACAAGTGGGTTAGGCATCACTTTCATGGAGGGGACAAGATGTCTTATATTCATTCAAAACTCCAACAAATCACATGGCCTTGTCTAGTCACATCTAACATGTAATTACAATTGGTTATCTTGAGTACAAGTTAACTAACCTTGGTTACACTTAACCAAGGTTAGACTAACTTGCACCATAAACTAACCAAACTCTATATATTCTTTTCTTCTCCATGTATAGGCCACTTTTGAGCAATTTATGAAAAATAACATTGAGTTTTCTCTTCCAAAAGTCTAGTTCTCTTTCTTGGAAAAATTATCTCCTTATGAACTTTTATTAAGGAATTCCTCCTTATGGCAAGTTCTTCACCTCTCTTACTTATTTTTCTGTAATAAGTGGTAGATCTCATACTCCTTTCTTCTCCACCATTTTCAAGTTTCTTGTAAGTTTCAATTCCATAGAAAAAGATTGGGAACATATAGAAGCTAGTTAAAGAGAATCAACATTCACTCCAAACTAGTTTCATCAACAATAATGAGACATAGATTACTTCAAAGTGAGATTATGCTACACTAATGATATTTCTGAAGATATACTTTCCTTTCCAGCTTTTCTCTTCCGTTAATATGATTGATACGATACAAGGTAGTAAATATGCAAGATCAAGGTATTGCAGTAACAACAATTCAGTATTTAAACGCAAATGAATCATCAATATCCACTTGGAGCATTATGCTTGGAATAAAATTGTTAATAATCATACATATCGATGCACAATCACACCCATGCACGTAAGCAATAAACAAAAGAAAAGGCAATATGATAAATTAACTAAGGAAATGGAAAATTAAACATGAATTAAATAAATGTGGAAGTGTGTTACCAGAATTCTGGGCTGCTGAGAACGCTGCCTTTGATAAGCAGCTTTCCAAGTGGGGAACTGAGATTTCACCGCGAGGGATTTTGCGCCTTGGATTATAAAACTGAACCACAGCTAAAGCAACCATTTTGGGAACATTTCCATCCATATTTTGTTCATCACAACCATCTACACGTAACAAGGCACAAATAAAGAGGCATCAACAATATACAGATATTCTACACGTCATGGACTAAACACATACAAGAAAAGCTCTCGGTAAAAGTTTTACTATAAGCTGTTTTGAACAGAACAAACTAATCAAAGATACCTTATTTTTGTATTCAAAATAGTTCATAATGCATTCGGTGAGAACCCAAAAAAAAAGAAGCAATTCCCCTCAAAATAATCACAATCATAGACACCACTAATCCAAAATACTAAATGTGACAATTGGCTAAACTTTACACTTTTTGTTTAAATATGTTTTTAGTCCATGTAAAATGAACAAATTTTGATTTTGATTTTTATAAGAAATTTTCTTTTGTTTTTCATTCATCTAAAATTTAGAACTATTATTTTTAGTTTCTATTGTTATATAATCTTTTTTAATTACTTTTGTTTTTATAAGAAGGTCAAGTAACCATCCTAAGTCATGATACTCACAATTGTCTATGATATTATCTTAACGTGAAATTTTCTATAAATTCTTAAAACAAATATTATTCATCTAAAATTTAGAACTATTATTTTTAATTTCTATTGTTATATAATCTTTTTTAACTACTTTTGTTTTTATTAGAAAGTCAAGTAACCATCTCAAGTCATGATACTCACAATTGTCTATGATATTATCTTAACGTCAATTTTCTATAAATTCTTAAAAAAAATATTATTCATCTAAAATTTAGAACTATTATTTTTAGTTTCTATTGTTATATAATCTTTTTTAACTACTTTTGTTTTTATTAGAAGGTCAAGTAACCATCCTAAGTCATGATACTCACAATTGTCTATGATATTATGTTAACGTGAAATTTTCTATAAATTCTTAAAAAAAATATTATTTATCTATCTTATAATGATTGTTGGAGACCAAAACTAGTGACTTAAATTTTATAAGGATGAAAATCAAGAAAAAACATTTTACTGAGACTAAAATAAAAATTCACATTTTACAAGGACCAAAAATGTTTACAAATTTTAAAAGGATGAAAAATTTAATTGGAACCAATATCAAATCTTTTTCATTTTACAAGAACTAAAAACATTTAAGCCTACATTTTTTTTTAATAAAAAGAACATGCATCACATAATTCATAATGTAATTTACAGCAACAAAAATAAGCCGCGCCCCACCTTGCAGAGGATACCCATAAACTCCAGAAGACAAAAAGATAACACCTTGACTAAAGTTCAGCATTCAGCAATAGTTATTTCAGAGATAAATTGTTCATGAACGTCTCAACAACTTCACCAAAACTACCAGAACAAATTATGTTAACATATAGAACAAAACAAAAAAATTATATTCTTGCACAAACAATTTGGAAAATGGTAAGTAATAACACCCCCAAGAAGAAATAGCTGCTGTGGTTGTACAGTGGTGGTGACATTGCAAGACTGTTAAATAATTGAGACAATTATGTTATGCTGGAAAATTGCAAGGAATTAAGATTGCACGCTTGTAGGTCAGGGTAGTATTGATATTTATTTACTGACATGAAACATCTTGTATGCAGTCCATATATAGACTTAACATAATTATTCAGTACCAGTGCTCACCATCAAGCCTTATAAGATGTAGATCACCAAGATGCAGGTCCCCATGTTCAGAAGCCCGTTCATATGCATCACCAATGCTCGTAGAAAGGTTGGACAATGCATCAAACATTCCACCGCGGCCCCAATGTCCGGATGTATCAACGCAGCTGCAAAACCAGATTATGTATTCACAGTTAATAAAATCAATGACTTCTTCAACATGGAACAGTTTAATCATAGTTGTTGAAGCATGTGATACTAATTACCTTAATTTCTTTATTACCATATTTTCTTTACTTTGGTACAAATTTATTTCCCGGTAATTTAATTTCCTTTATTTCTCGTTTTATTTTTAAGAGAAAAAGAATGATATTCTTATTATTGATTGATCAGAATTACGTTGAGAATTGCATTCACAAAATTGGCTAGGAGAAATCCTAAGTAACCACCCTGATTACAAATTAAATATAAGGATAATATGGGGAAAAAATAAGCGAGAATCAGATTTGAATAATCTAGTTGATCTTAACTAATTAAACCCATAGAATACTTATTTGAAATTTAAAATGAAAGTACATATAGTTGTCGACAGTTACAATTATGACAGCAAGATTATTGCCTACGATACTGGGTTTAGTCACTATATAATATAATCACCTGGTACACTTTGCATCATAAAGTGACATCCTTTATTGTGTGCCCATGTCCCGTTTATTTACTTTGTCCCTGTCTATAGTCAATATAACATTGCCTGCTTTAATTCTTGGGTTGCAACTTATAAATTTGCTTGGCAATTTCACTTGATGCCAATTGATTACAAGATGAAATCTAAAACCTTGCATATCCTTTCACACCTAGGAAAGTCGTATGGACAAGTCAATTGCAATAGAAAATCGACAAGGCAAGGTAGATTTTTGGATCATTGAGGGTGACTCAGTATCATATCTGTTGAGATTGTTGTTGATATGTAATTAATGGAGGTGGAGAAAAGACAATTAACTAAGTTTGGAACAACAAGTGAAACATCCAGAGGAACATTCAAAGGAGCATCATCACCAATGGGCACTGAGGAGAAGGGAATCGACTCAAAAAGTGACATTAGCACAAAAAAGATATCATTGTAGTTGAGGGTGTAACCTAGAAAAACACATTTAAGAGACTTGGTAGAAAAATCATCTTTACATGGAATAAGATCATGGACAAAATACGGGCAACCGAAAACACTAAGAAATAGGGTGGAGGTCCTCTTAAGGGTACAAAATGGAGTACGAAACCTAATTTTTCCCAACTTGGATCTCAAGTTCTCAAATTTACTCTAGGTAGACCCTTGGTTAAACTGTCAGAAATTTGATGACTTGAAAGTGTGTGCACAAGTTGAATTATCCCATTATCAATCTTCTCTTTTATGAAATGGCAATTAATTTCCACATGCTTGGTTTAATCATGATGCACAAGATTTTTGGCAATGCTAATGACAGATTTATTATCGCATAACAAACTCATGATGTTATTAGTTTGGACCTTAAGTTCCTCGAGCATCCTTTGCAACCAAATTCCTTCACAAATTCCATGAGCCATAGATATGAACTCAGCTTCTACGCTACTAGAAGCCACAAACCTTTTTTGCTTCTCCAAATAACTAGGTTCCCCTGCACAAATGAGAAGTACCCATTTGTTGACCTTCTACCAGTCACTGAACCAGCCCAGTACACATTTAAATATTTCTACATTTCTACTTGATGTCTTGAAATGCAGCCCTCTTCCTGGTGTTTTTTAAGGTACTGCAAGATCCGATATACAGCTTTCATGTGTATATTCATGCATCTTGTATCGACTTACCATCCTAACAAAGTAGCCAATGTCAGGCCATGTGTGTGTTAAGTAGACAAATTCTAATTACATGAAATCCTAACATTAGGTGTACAAATCAGATTGAATTAATTCTAATTGATCTCCATAGATCAAATCCCATGATCTGGATTGCTTTCTTTAATTATCAATAATTTCATGAGTATCCAACAACATAATTCAAACACAGATTCTCTCCTATGTTCTCTCATTGTCTTCTCTTTCACAACATTCACATTATAGACTTGTGCTTATAACTTGGCTAGAATAGAGTTATATTACAAGACAAGAAGCAAATCTGTCCTAATAAAAGGAAATAAAACAAAACATACGTACAGAGAAAAAAAGAAGGAAAAAACCTATCCTAAAGTACTATTTACAATAATGCTGAATAATAGTGAATCTGCAAAATGCTTCTAAACACCTCCTTCAGATTAAAAACAATCAGGCAGATCAAACAAGAAAAGAATCCATAGTTCAACAATAAAATGGTCAAATATCATCATGCAACAAGAATGCTACCAAATGAAAGAAATCTCCAACAGAAAAATAACTTCATTAATGTAATTATAAAAAGCTTAGTGCACAAGAGCAAAAGCAGTGAGGCAAATTAAAGAGTTGACCTGAAAATTATAGCAGGATCAGATGAACAAACATTTGATGGAGCTGTACAATCTCCATACACAAAATGAACAGACCCAGTAGCTGATGTTATGTCATTGTCTGTTGGGCTGATAGCTTCTTTTACATTCAATGATTGATATCCAAGAGCTTCCCACCTAGATAGCTTCTTTTCCTCTGCCTTCTTCCTCGCAGACTCAAGTTTTAGACTCTTTTCCTCATCTAAGTTTCTTCTGCTTCTCAAGTCCATGATTGAGTCACAACTTGATTTAGCCACTTCCTCAAATTTTTTAACCCAAGATAGATATGAAGCCTCGTCAAGGCCAAGATCACAAGAGAGAGAAGCAGAAACTCCTTCCTTGACATCATCCCCTTTTAAAATGTTTCTTGGATTGACCTCAAATTTCCTTTCATCCTTATCAAGTATTTGTTCATCACGCATAGCAAGCACCCTGTCAGCCATAGCACTAATTTCTTGTATGTTCATATCCTTATGATTCCCATCATTGATCTCAATGGGATCAAACATATGTAACCCAAATATGATGGATTTCAAATCACCAGTTCCAACTTCAGACAGTTCTTTATTGTCATCTTTGAGAATGTTATCACCTGTAACATTGATGCTCAGCAGCAATTTTCTCTCTGCTCTCCGCATAATTACCTACAGTGTAACATAAGAGTTCCTAGAGTCCATGTAAATACCCTCCACTATCACAGAATAAAAGATTGTAACAAACAGAAATATACTTCCTCCACTGACTGCTCTGTAACAAGGTTTATACACAACACATGGTTCATCTGGCCAATTCTATGTGCTCTCTGCAAAGCTTGCTTGTCCACCTGAGGGTTCCAATCTTGCTCGTAGAATATAACCTAAAAATACCATGCAATAGTAAATTCTTTGAACTTGCATGTGATAGCAACTTACCAGGGAGACTTGGTAAACATATCAGTCAACTGATCATGAGAACTGTGGGAAATCAAATAGTATTTTAGGAAAGAATAAATTAGGAAATTTGTATATTTCCTTGTAATCTATACATATTGAATAATTAGGTACAATCCCATAAATCAAGGGATTCTAGAATAAAATAGTTATTATATTTCCTAAAATAGCATAGGTCTCCTGTATATATATTGTATGATCTCTTTGTATTACGAGGTAGAAAATCAGTTTTCATTTAACCTAATTTTCCAGATGGTAGCAAAGCTTTCAACCTAGGAAGCCTTGTCTACGCATTATAAACCCTAAGATGGATGCCTGCATTGCTGCTGCAACTTTCCCTATAAATTCATTGCACATTTTTTTTCTCCTGCTGTTTTCTCTGTGCCTTAATCGCACAACCTTTCCTTTTATTCTTCACCACTCAGCCACCTTACTATAATGTCAAGGGAAGAGGAAGTTGTGAACCCAACCCCAAAAACAGGGAACACCCAATCCCAACAACCTGGAGATTCATTCTGCATATAGACTAAATGGAAGAAATTATTTGAAGTGGGCCCAACTTGTTCATATAGTGTTGAAGGGAAAGGGGAAGTTGAGTCACCTAACAGAGTCTGGACCTAATAAAGAGGATCCCAAGTTTACTACATAGGATGAGGAAGATTCAATGATCATGGCATGGCTTTGGAATTCAATGATTCCAGAAATTAGTGACACGCATGTTCCTTAACTCGACTAAAGAGATTTGGGATGCAGTAGAGCAAACCTACTCTAAAGCCAAAGATGCTGCTCAAGTATATGAAGTAAAGGTGAAAACTTTGGTAGCAAAACACGGGAACAAGATTGTTACGGAATATGCCAATCAGCTGAAATCATTATGGATGGAGCTAGACCATTATAGAGTCATAAAAGCCAAATGTAAGGACTATATCGAGCAAGATAGTTTATGATTTCCTTGTTGGTATGAATCCTGAATTTGATCAAGTTAGGATTCAAATATTGGGGAAGCAAAAGGTACCATGCTTCAATGAAGTGGTGGCTATTGTGAGAAGTGAAGAAAGTAGAAGGAGTCTCATGTTAGAAAGTCGCGCAGTAGAGAACTCGGCAATGGTGGCTAACCATAAAGGAGATTAGACTTTGGCCATGATATCCAAATAGAAGTAAGGAGGATCAAAAGATGATGGTCTCTGGTGTACCTACTACAATAAGCCCTGTCATACTCGAGAGAAGTGTTGGAAGTTGTACGAGAAGCCTTTAAATGAAGACCAAGAAGGGGGATACAGAGGAGGCTCCTTAAGGAAGCGAGGACAAGTTTATGTTGTTGCTGGAACAAATGAAGAAAAAAAGCCAGAAACTACTGCCCATCTTAACCAAGAGGAGATAGAAAGGATGAGAACCCTTCTTAGTAAGCTCGAAAAACATACATGTGTGTGTTCTTTCGCATACTTAGGTAAGTTTCCACTTTCCTTTGAATTAAATGTCTCAGACACACCCTTTAACCATTATTGGATATTGGACTCTAGAGCCACAAACCACATCACACCATTAGCCAAACACTTCTCAACATATTCCCCATAGCAACAAGAAAATTGTCACAGCAGATGGAACCCTTATAACTACAGCTGGTCAAGGACATATACAAATCAATCCTTTAATAATCTTATCCATGTCCCAATGTTGTCCACCAACCTAGTCTCTATACAAAAACTTATAAAGGATTTGTCATGTAATGTTTTTTACAACGATCATTGTGTATTTTAGGACAAGGATTCGAGGAGGACGATTGGACATGCTAGAGAATGGAATGGCCTTTACTATCTTGAAGATCCAAGCCTGTCCAGCAAGAAAAAAATCTCTCACTCCTTCATATCTGAATCTATGATGACCAACAAAGAAAAAATCATCCTTTATCATTGTCGACCGAGACATCCTTCTTTTGGAGTTATCAAAATTATTTTTCCTTCTTTGTTTACCAAGTTAGATGTTGAGAGTCTTCATTGTGAGATGTGTGAACTTGCTAAGCACAAGTGTGTATCTTTTCCAATAAGTTTCCCTTTTATCATGTTCACACCGATGTATGGGGGCCTTCTAATGTTCCAAATGTGTCTGGTGCTCAGTGATTCATCACCTTTATAGATGATTGTACAAGGATCACTTGGGTCTTCCTACTTAAACAAAAATCTAAAGTCAGTTTTGTCTTCCTAAACTTCCACTCCTTGATAAAAAATCGATTTGGTGTTAATATTAAAAGACTTAGGTCAGATAATGCCAAAGATTACTTAAATCATGTGCTTAATTCTTTGACAAAAAGAAGGTATAATTCATGAGTCTTCTTATGTCAAAACACCACAGCAAAATGGGGTCGCAGAGAAAAAAAATTGGCATCTATTAAATCAGACCCAAGCATTGTTCCAAAATAGTGTCCCAAAATTTTTTTGGGGGGAAGCTGTTCTTACAGCAAGTCAACAATACACCTTATCAATATACTACCCTCTAGAGTCTTAGAATCAAAAAGCCCTGTGGAAGCTTTGTCATCATTCTATCCAAACCTGTCCACTACAAATAATCTTAAACCAAGAGTTTTTGGGTGCACCTCATATGTCCATATTCATAGTATAGGCAGGGGGAAACTTGATCCTAGAGCCTTAAAGTGTGCCTTTGTTGGTTACTTATCCACTCAGAAAGGGTATAAATGTTACCACCTCCCATCCAAAAAAAATTGTGTCTAGGGATGTTACCTTTAATAAACAAGGGGGCTATTTCAATCAACCTTATCTTCAAGGGGAGAGTTTCTAGGAAGACTAGGAAAGTAATTCTAGCTTTCCCACTCTTCCAGACTTGATAGACCTAACAATTGAACCTAAACCAGATCAAATTGAAGTTGTACCAAGTGAAACAAGTCAAGGAAGGGAAGTTGGTCAAGAAAATGAATTAATTGTGAAAATGAAATTAATTGTGAAGATGATCAAGGAGATGTTGAAGATAAGAGATTTGGTAAGAAGTTGGTGTACTCAAGGAAGACTAAGGCCATTTCAGGATAAAGCCATGTTCAAGAATCCAACTCGACTCCACAAAAGAGGTAACAATTTTTTCTCCAACTGTGGAAGTTGAAATTGAAACCCAAAATGATCTTGACCTCCCAATTTCCATTAGAAAAGGGACAAGAAAATGCACCAAACAGCCACTCTACCCTCTCTTAAATTACTTGTCTTTTAAAAATTTCTCTCCTACCCATAAAACCTTCCTAGTAAACCTAAACAATACACTTGTACCTAATACCTTATCTGAGGCATTGTCTGATAAAAAATGGAGGCAAGCCATGGATGTAGAGATGGAACCATTGGAGAAGAACAACACCTGGGAGTTAGTCACCTTACCAATAGGAAAGAGACCGGTTGGATGTAAGTGGGTCTTTACAGTGAAATACAAGGCTAATGGATCAATTGAGAGATATAAGGCAAGACTAGTTGCCAAAGGGTTCACCCAAACCTATGGAGGTGATTATTTGGAGACCTTTACTCCAGTTGCCAAAATGAACATAGTTAGGGTGATATTGTCTCTTGCTGCCAATTATGGTTGGAACTTGGAACAATTTGATGTTAAGAATGCTTTCCTACATGGAGACCTTGAAGAAGAAATTTATATGGAGATACTTTCGGAATATGGTAGAGATGTTGCTGCCAACATTGTTTGCATGTTGAAAAAGGCATTATATGGGCCATAGTAGTCAATCGCGGTTAGAGCGGCCGCTATCCCGGCGCTCTGGAGCAGAGCGGCCTGACGCCGCAACTGTGATGTTGTCACGTCTCGAGCGACCGTGTCGATTGCGGAGCGGAGCGTCAAAAATCGCAGAATCGCGGCACGTCTTGGACAAATCCTTCATTTAGGGTAAGTCTGTCATTTTAGTTGGGTTTTTTTGCCTTAATTCTTCCTTTCTCCCTCTCGTAGAACCACTCTTTTTCTTTTGTCAATGTCTCGCACTCCTTCTCCTCTCTCTCTCGGACACGATTCTCTCTCGGGGACAAGCGACGACACACTCCGATTGTCTTCTTCAGGCGTCTTTGTCGACATCTCCTCCGGTCTGTCAGTTTCGACGCTCCTCCGTTTGTCAGTTCCGACGCTCCTCCGGTCCGTCTCGTCTCGTTTGTCTTCTTTTGCCTTCTCTATTTCTATTTCAACACATTTTTTTTAATTTCTGATTAAATTTAATTCAGCTGCTTCTCTATTTCTAATTCAACAACTTTTTTTTTTAATTTCTGATTAATTCAGCTGCTTCTCTATTTCTAATTCAGTAGCTTTTTTTTTTAATTTCTGATTAATTCAGCTGCTTCTTTATTTCTAATTCAGCAGCTTATTTTTTTTTAATTTCTATTTCTGTTATCTTTTTATTAGGCTGTTTTTGTCTTTGATAATCGGTGTAATCATGAGCCAACCAAATGCTACTGGAACTGAAACTAACCCCAATTCTAGTCCCACTCCCACAACAGAAATGTTTAAGCCCATTGGTGACAATATTGATGTCTTTTGGAAGAGGAACAACTTAAAAGAAAAAAATAATAAGAAAAGTGTCACGTGTGACTTTTGTCTAAAAACATCTACCAGAGGAATTACTAGAGCAAAAAAACATCAACTTGGAATAAAAGGCGATGTAGGTGCTTGTAGAAAAATTCCTTGGGATCTAAAATTGGAAATGAAGGCTGCCTATGAGAGTAAAAAAATTGCCTTAGAAGTATATATGGAGTGTGTGGATGAAAATGAAGAGGAGGATGACATCCAAGCCATTGCTAGAATTAAGAGACCTTCATCCACATCAAGTGAAGCCACTTCTGTTACCAAGAGGAGGGGTATAAATGTCAAAGGTCCCCTTGATTTGCACTTTACTAGAAAGGCAGAAGAAAGTATCAAATTGAATAAGGGGTTGTGGCAAACA